GGAAGGTTCTTCCCTAGGTTCTACAGTCTCCACCACCCCCATATGCCCACTGAATGGCAGTACAGGAGAAAATGAGAGTTTGGAGAACACCTGGGGAAGGAAAAGGAAGCATGTGACTGTAGATCTGTGGCTTCTGTCTGTCTTTGGTTCCCGGTGCTACATGCTCTCCTTCAGTGGCACTGATTTCCCCAGATACAGGACTCAGTGGTTCTGGGCCTTCTTTGGCTCTTACTAGCAAGAGGTTATCTCCATCAGGAAAAGGAAGGGATCACAGTGAAAAGAACAGATCTGAAGGAGTCTAACTGCTCTCCACGTTCCAGTGTCTACTCTCGAAAGACTCCTCAGTAACTCAAGAAGAGAAGCCCTAAAAATGCACAAATGAGTCCTTCTTCCACAAGACCAAATTGACCAACTGGGAGAGAGGGATGTGGTTATAAACAAGATCCAGCCACCCTGACTGAATCCCTAATACAAGCTGGGACAATGTGAGGTGCTCTCTGCATATTTCTCATTGAAAGATGCTGAAATCATTATGCCCATGTTACAGAGGAGGAAACCAAGCAAAAAAGAGATGAAATGACAACTGGATCACCCAGCAAGAATGGAAAGAGAAATTCCAAGCCTGGTCCATCAGATTATTTGATGTGAAAAGAAAAACAGATACGTTAAGTCAACTCAAAATTTTCAAGTGAGACTTATTCCTATTTCTCATCCTCTTTAATCTATAGATATGCCGTCAGCACAGAGATGCCAAATGGAATGGAAATGTTCTGCAGCCGGGTTAAGGAAGGGTACTCAAGTCCCTTCTCTGCTGACACAGGAAGCAAGCACTTGGAACTTGAGTTCACATGTGGGCCCTGCCCATTAGAAGACCTGTGGGACTTTCATCCAAGTCACTACAAGTCTCTGAGATGCAAACTCCTCTTTTATAAAGAAGGGGCAATGATGTCCATCTCCCAGGGTGGTCCTGAGGGTGAAAGGCTCTGGCAGAAGGCCATGCCCCCAGCAGAGTCTGCCACCCTTCAGGCACCCAAGAGAGGAGGTTTCCTTCTTGCCTGTAAAAACGCCAGGACTGAAATATTTGAAAAATCACATCTACTAATAAGAATGAAATCTGTCAAGCACTTTCTGCATGCCAAGTCTGATTCTAAGCACTTTCCAAGCACAAGCTCACTTCAAGTTCATTCTGCCCTAGGTGATAAGTGCCTACCCCACCTTTACTCTGTGGATGAGGAGGCTGAAGCCCCGAACAGTCAGCTGGCTTGCCCAAGGTCACACAGCTAGTCCAGGGCAAGAGTGGATTCCCCTGTAGGTGATCTGCCTGCTGAAACTGAGTTCTAACCACTGCGGTATTCTAGATACCAGGTGGGATCATAGATGTTAAGGGAGAGCCATGTTAATAGATGAAGTTCATAAAACCTGGTGCAACTCTTTTTGAGAGGTAGAGTGAGAAGTATGAAGCAGGGGCTGCAGATGGGAGGGATGAAGACTCTGGAGGGAAACCAGCAAACTTAATCCATTCCAACAGTTCTAACAAGAGAAAAGGCGAGCCAAGGTGCTGGGTGGGAGGTAGGGAAATCCCTTTCTCCTTCTGAGTAGGAATTCCAGGGAAGGGGAGTGGGACTGGGGCTGGGAGGCGGGCAACACTTGTGGGGTCCACATTTCACTTATCTAACAGGTTAGGAGAAACTTTAACAAGATTAACTGCTGCTCAGGGCCTCCGCTCCACGGAGCAAATTGAGTCTATTGTTTTCTTTCTCTTTCTTTCAGACTGGAGAGGTGTATGTGTGGGGGGCGCAGATGGGGATGAGGGGCAGGGGTCTGGATCCTGCACCGTGTGATACAAAAGCAAAGGGATGTGTCAGAAACAAGCCCCAAGCCCAGGCCAACTTGAAAGGGAGCCCACTGTGCCAGCAGGAAGGCTGAAGGCTGCATCTGGGTGGTGGGTCTGTGTGGGGTGAGAGGAGATGATGTTTATGAGCTATGTACTCTCAGCATGTAGGGGGCAAGGCTGAAAGTCACTGAAGAAGCTACTGAGGAGCTAGCTGTGCCAGCCAGCACCCACCTGGTCCCTCTCTGTGTCTCTCCCTATCTGGCATAAAGGATGACTGACTAGCTTGGGTAATCTCTGAGGACCCTTCTCACAGAAGCCTTAAAGAATTCTTCAATCCTAAAGACCATTCATCATTAGTGGGTCCCCAGAGCATGCAAGCAGGCACTTTCTAACTTTGTCTTTGTTTTTACCTGCATAAACCTTCATATATATATATATATATATATATATATATATATATATATATTTTTTTTTTTTTTTTTCTCCCCTCTCCTTCCCTTTTAGAAAAATGAAAGGCATGTTTTCCAAGCCTCAGAAGCAAACTGCTCCTTCACTGTTTCCCCTGCCTCTCAGAAGAGGGCCTGAACTGGTGTCCCTGAAGTTTGAACCTGGGCGGAAATAGCATCCCAGGCCAGCAGATCAGGGAGCACCCCCAGCCTACAGGGAGTGGCAAGGGCTGCCCCTGGCAGACGACAGACCTGGTTAACAGCACCGTAAAATTAGACCTTTATGAAACCCAATTGAATCCTGCAGCAAAGAGTGATGTAAGGCAGCTTGGCCTGACAGCAAGTCAGCAAGCAGCCCTCTGCCCGAAATAGCAGTGTAGTCCCTGCTGAGCGATGACTGCTCTCAAGATAGGTGACCAGGGATTCCTGTGAAAGTGGTGACGCCCAGCCAGAGAAAGCCAGCAGAGGTCAGGCAGCCAACTGGGCACCTGAGGTCCCTGCTCAAGGATGGACTTCCTGCACCCACCTGAGTGTCCAGCCTCTCCCAGCCCCAGCATACAACCAGGAGGGAGCTGGAAAAGCACTTCTGTTTGCTTTTTAATTCAAGGAGAAGCAGGTTCTTTTTCCTCCAACAGTCTGTACCGTGTAGAGGATACTGCAGAAGGAGTCTTTTCTGGCTCTGGGCCAGGTGTTTACACACCGCCAAATCTGGCTCAGACTCAAGTAGGGGAGGGAAAAAAAAATCCACCAGAATCCTCCGGAGAAAAGCTCCTGGCTTTCTGGGGCTATACAACAGCAGTGCCTTTTTTTTTTTTTTTTTGTTCCTTTTTGAGAGGAATGTTATTTCCACACATAAAATGGACCAGGCATTTTATACAAGCAATAATAGCTTAACATCCTCCATCCAATTAAAGTATTTTACTGCAACAATCTTTGTGTGAAAAGAGTGAATGAGTATCAAGAGTACGCATGTGAAGAGACCCTTGTCTGAGTTATAGACACATAAAGCAATCTCCCATGGAATCCCAGGTGTGTGTGTGTGTGTGTGTGTGTGTGTACACACACACACATACACACAAACACATATACCCCTTCACTTATGATACCTAAATAACTCTGGGTTCTCCTCTTCAGAGGGGAAATGCTCCAAATCACCGGTAGGACAGGTAAAGGCTCAGAAAAACCAGGTCTATTTTTTTTTGTTGTGGTTGTTGTTTTTTAAATCACCTCCAAGCAGCAGAATGCTTTTCATATGCATAAAAAAGGAGAAGTACACACCACATCCTTGAATTATCACTGTCGTCATTATTATTTTGAATACTGTCTCTTCTGTTCCATATTATATCCTGCTCTGGTTGACTAGGGGAGCTAAAAGCGACTGAGCCCGGTTTCCTTCTCCTTTCCCGGGAAAAAAGGGAAAATAGCAAGCGATGACGATGACGTCAGTTGTGTGTGTTGGGGGAGTCGTTCTTGCTCTCCTTTGGTAGCTGGAAAGTACGGGCTTTGAGGGGACATCTTTTTGGTACAGCAGCAGAGTTTGGGTTCCCTGAAGTGGACTTCATGGAAATAGGATCGTCAGCACATTGTCAGAAAAAGTCCAAGCCAAGGAGAGAAAGAAGCTGACTGTCCGAAGAGCTCTCGAGCTTTCCCTTCTAAGAAAGTGTGTGTAAGGGGGTGGGATCGCAAAACGCCTCCACACGTTTGCTGGCTTGCAGCGAAGGGGGAACCCCTACTCTCACTTTAAGACGTCCCAGGACATGGCAAGAGTGTACAGAAAGGGAATCTCCCAGACAGAAGAAGCAAAACTTTCATTCTCTCCTCCAGCGCCGCCCCCTCCACCCGCTGGTTTTATTAAAGGCATTTCCACAGATTCATTTAGAGGGGGAAAAATGAATGTTGGCGCATTTCTAAGGTTTGCAACCCTCGCTAAGTGTCCGGTTTCACTATGGGCTTTGCTGCGTAGGGGAGAGAGAGGGAGGGTAAGGAGGGAGAACTCAAATTCATTACGGGCTCATAAAAGTCCCAAATGAGAAAAGCGCCCCATTTCGCAGCGGGGTCTGGAGAAAGCTGGCGAAGTGTGTGTTAGGAAGGTCTCTCCCCAATTCCGAGTAACAGGCAACGGGCTTTAAAAGCAAAGATATGGGAGGACAGTGCGTGGGGCTGCGGTGTGTGTTGGGGGACTTGGGGGACAAGGGAGGTGGATCCCAGAGACAGGTTTCAAACAGAGCGACGTTGGGGCACTTCGAGGACTTCTAAGTCTGGTGATCACAACAACATCGTCCCTGCCAGCTTCCAGGGTGAAGGGGCCAATCCAGGGGGCTACGTCCACCAAAAAGTCAGAGAAATCAATGGTCCCCTAGCTTCCTTTTACATGCAACCCAATTGGGTCATCCTCCCCTCCCTCTCCAACCCAGACAGAGTCCGTCTGACAATGCAGAGAACTGCTTCCGTGCGCTAGGCTCCCCGGGGACTAGCCCTCTCCAACTCAGGGTCTCCAGCCGCCTGGAACGCTCCCCACTCCGCTCGCGGTGGCTGGGGGGCAGGCAGCGACACCTTCCCCGTGTGCCCATTCCTCAGATGGGACAAAGTGAGGCTCCCGAGGTGGCTGCCCCACAGACACACCCGCAAGCCCCCGACCCGCCCGCCACCCGCGTCCAGGCACCCGCGCGCTTCCAGGGCCACGGGGACGGTGCGGCGCCCGTCTGGGCGTCCTCGCCTACCTGTGATCACCGCCGGGGACCTCTGGCCCCCCTCCGCTCGCAGCCACACTTGCAGCGTGAACGCGTCCCGGGGCAGCTCGAGGTCGGCCCGGAGGCGCAGCTGCTCGCCGCGCCCGCTGAAATAGAGCGCCCGGCTCGGCGGGCTCGGCTCCTCGGCGGCGCCCCTCGCCTCCCGCTGCTGCCGCCGCCGGGGGACGCGCACGGCTTCCCAGGCACCGCCCGGCGGCGGCGGCGGCGGCGGCGGCGGCGAGGCGCGGCGGCCGCGGGCCGCCCGGGTGGCGCAGGTGGCCGGGCCGGCGGCGGGGCGCGGGGGGCGGCCGGCCCGCGGGTCTCTCCGGGCCCGGCGGGGGCGCTCGGCCAGCCCGCAGCCCAGCGCGGCGCTCAGCAGCCCCAGGCGCAGCACCCAACTCCAGAGCCGCATGTCCGACGGTCCCCCCCGCCCCCCCTTCGCCCCTGCACCGCCGCCCGGAGCTGCCAGCTTTGGGAGCCTCCGCGCCTCGACTTTCTTCTTGTTCACCCTTCTTGGGCGAGCCCCCCCTTCCACTTGCTTTTTTCTTTTCTTTCTCGCTTTCCTCCTCAAGGTGTGTGCTCCACTCCCCCCACCTTTGAAAAATACAGTCCAACTCCTCCTGGTTGGCAATTAATTTCTCTCCCCGCTCCTTTATCTGCCTTATTTCCCCCTCTAACAGCTGGTTACCTTCCTTCTTGTTTTATTTCATTTTATTTTATATGATTTCTCTCTCTAAAAAAAAAAAAAAAAAAAAAAAAAAAAAAGCTCCTCTAAGACACTGATCCGCTGAATTCCCTCCCCCCCAAAAGATGCTCTAATTTATTTATTTTTTGCGTCCTTTATAACACAAGCCACAGCCCCCTTCTCCCCCCCCCCAGTCCCCCCTCCCCTCCCTCCTTCTTCACAAAATGAAAGGAAAGAGGGGGAAAAAATCCCTCAGAAGATGAGTAAACAAGCGTAAGCTAATCTGCTCCCGAGCGCTCCACCTTCTCAATTGAATGAGTCCCTGTTAAAACTGCGGGGATCATGACTAATCAATCGGTTTGGAGAGGCCGAGCTACCCAGCCTTCCTCCACTTTGCCATTTGCCTCCTTTCCTTCGCTCCCGCTTCTCCATCCCCCCCCCCCTTTTTTTTTTTAAAGAAGACAATCTTAAAGTAACAATTTAATAAATTCTGTACACACCCCCTTATGGTCCTCCCAGCTCTCCTCATTCCTGTTCAAAACACACATTCCTGTTTTTGTTTTGTTTTGCTTGTTTTTCCCCCCTTTCTTCATCACTCCCCCTCCGCCCGCTCCCCTGATTTTTTTTTCCCTCCTGGCGGGAGAAAAACCTCTCTCTTCTCTCAGGATCCCCTTTGCACTTTGCTGGTAAACCTCATCCTTTTCCATAGTACATAAAGAGTCTTGAAACTTGATTCTCAAATTTAAAAAAATATTCTCTCCATTTTTCTCTTCTCCTCCCTTTTTCTTTCTCTCACCTCTCTCTCTCCCTCCCTCCCCCCCAGTCTCTCTCCTTCCTCTTACCTCTCTCTCTCTCTCTCTCCCCCTCACCCCCCTGTTCCATTCCTCTCTCTTCCTCTTTCTCTTCTCTCTTACCTTCCCAGTCTTTCCTCCCTTTTTCCTTCTCCCTCTCAGAATTTTCTTGAAGTTCCACAGTGTAGTGATGAAGGGCCCCCCTGTTCCCGGAGCCCCAAAGAGTGGCCAGTTGTAGCTAACCCTAGTTGTTCCCAAATTCATCATGGAGTCATCAGAAGACAGCACAGGGGAAGGCATTTTCCGGGACATCTGTCTTTCAGAAGCTGTAGACCCAGCGAAACTGGGTCTCTGAATTCCCCTGAATACTCTTAAAAATATTCTGTTGGTGGTTAAGAATTATTTTAATATTATACAAACAACGAGAGCAAAATATTAGTTTACCTAATTTCAACCTAAGCAATTCTGGTTCTCTGTTATTGTCCAAGTCACAGAAAAGGATCTGGCCATTTGCTGTTTTGTAAATCTGTTTTTGAACTGGGACATATATGTAATATTTTTTTTTTCTTTTTCCCCCCTCTTTATGGAACTCAAAAGCTCCCCCTTATGGCAAAACAGTTTCCTTCTTTTTTTTTCCCCCTCCAAGTGTTTAATAAGTCAAAATGAGTTAGCAGTGGTGGATTACAAATTATTAGTTACCAGTCTGTCCAAATAATGTAGTGATAAAAATATGCTGTGTGAGGTTTGCATGTGGATAGCATACTGGAGACCTGATGTGAAATTAATGCCACTAATTTGTGACTTTCATCCCTATGGTGCGCCTGTCCTCAGGGCTGCTCCAGATCCTTCCTGAGGTCTGGGATCATTGCTACATGCTTCAGGGAGAGAGAAAAACAGTGGAGAATGTGTGCTGGTAAAAGTATAAAGATTTGTAAGATGAGCAAACGACTCAGACATCCCCTCTATAAAAGCTGGAATGTGCTCTGTGGGAATCATGGAACCATTCTGAAAACAGGAGATCCCAGATTCAGATCTTTCTGGTTTGGGAAGAACTTGCTATGTAATCTTAAGCTAAGAAGTTTGAACTCTAGTTCTCCGGTTATAAAATGAAAAATCACACTATATTCTAAATGAGTTTTCAGAGGCTGGCTAGAAGAATAAAGGACCCTGGGTGCACAATGCTATGGATAAGGAATTCATCTTAGCAAATCTTTGACTTTCTGCTACTCCAGGTCACCTATAGAAGTTACAAGGTTGTTCAAGAGCTCTGTTGAACTGCATAAATTATGTCATTCAAAATTTCCCTTCCTCTCCAATAGAAGTTGGAACATGAGTACAGATGGACCTCAGTGGTGGCCATTAAGCATTTGGAAACTGTGTATCTTCAAGGGGGCTTTTAAGCCATTGTGTTCAATAGTTTTGAATATTCCTAGACTTTTGGGATTTCAACTGTCCAGCCAGGAGGGAAAACAGGCACTCTCAGTTGTACTCCACTCTAACTCCAGCACATACCCGAATCCTGCCCTTGAAGGAGTCCTTTCACCTCTGTACCCTTCCATTTCCTCACCTTTCAAATAGGAATATCTACTTCCCAAATTTATTTTGAGGACAGAATATGCTCTGGGACATGATACTCTGAAGTATAGAACTGGCATTTAAATATCATTTATTCCAGTCCTGTTAAGAACAAAGTTCCCTTTAGGTTCTTATAGACAAACAAATATTGAGGAGGCCAACTTATGGAGGCAGAAAAAGGAAGGGACGAAACAGCCATATCTTAACAGTCATTGAGCTCTTTGGCCTCATTCCCTAAATATACAGGGAGCATTTGGCAAAGCCTTTTGCTCATTTATTCATTGACCCTGCAATTATACTGTTTGGCCCCTCCTCTCTTGGAAGCCACTTTTATTCTTTATGTATGTATTTTTGTATTTATTTATTTTTGGTTGAGGTGCAAAGACTTAGATGAATCCTAACCTTTGGCTGATAACTCTTTCTAATCAATGACTTATGCATAACCTTTTTATGTATTGATGTATAATATAATCTACCATGTGCTGCTATCCTTTTTAAAAAAAAAAACGCATCAATTGATCTTTCGTGGATTTATTCCCTGTCTTTTCATCATTTGTAGTACAGGAACAACAATTTGAGAGTCAGATGATTGCTGGGCAAGGTGGCACACACCTGTAATCCCAGCAGCTCCAGAGGCTGAGGCAGGAGGATTGCAAGTTCCAAGCCAGCCTCAGCAACTTAAGGAGACCTTAAGCAACTTAGTGAGACCCTGTCTCAGAATAAGAAATAAAATAAAATGGGCTTGGAATGTAGCTCAGTGGTTAAGTGCTACTGGGTTCAATTTGGGGAAAAAGAAAGAAAGAAAGAGAGAAAGGAAAAAAAGAAAACAAAAAGAGGTGACTCCCCGTTTAATTCTGATTTGTGTGAGATCTTTGGATCTCACTTTGCTTTTATGTAAAGTGAAAGGGAAGGAATTGAAGATTCCTAAGATCACTTCCAAATCTGAGCTAAAATGAAGCCTTTTGAAGTATGGCAACAGTACCCACCTAGTTGTCCCGATTTGGGTCCCACCCACCCACCCACCCAATTCCACTCCTCCCGGACTTCCTTAAGTTTCTGGGGATTTATTTTTGTTCTTTATTTTTATCGTTTTTACCCTGCTCCTTCACTCTTAAGGTTTAGTCCTTCAACACTTATTTTGTTTGGTAATAAGTGAAAGCAATGTATGGGGCCAGGGAGGGTATAAGATTCTACTGGAAGTTAGAAAAGTAACGTAAAAGCAGATCCCTAAAGATTGCGAAGGATAGGAATGGGTGAGGGTGGTTCAAAGTACACATTTCAGAGTCACCATGACCCGGGTTCCTATGACCTTCTGCAAAATGCTTAATTGTTCAGAGTCTCAGTGACCTTACCATGGAGTTGTCACTGAGATTAAATTAGTAGGCTACATGACAAAGTAGGTGCTCAATAAATGAGCACCCCCATCTTCCTCTCCACATAACTACATTTTATGGCCCTCTGGACTTTTTCTGTCAGCTCTCTTCCAGAGCCAGAGCCCTATTTACTTTACTCCAGGCCAGATAAATTATTCTCATCTCAGAATTCCTAGTGCAAGCATTGTCTGTTAGGCAGAATCTGGAACTAAATGAGATAGGATCTTGCATTGTTCTTGGTGTCCTGTTTATGTCTTTCTTCCAAGATTAGAAAGCTCCAAAGGCCAATTCAGTCACCTGCTTAGAGAACCTTCCACTAACATCACGGTCCCCCACCAGCCTGATGGGCTCCCTCCTCTGGGCTTTCAAAGAACTGCCTCTGAATTTCTATCAGTACATGCCCAAGACAAATCCTCACAGTGAGTTATATATCTACCTAGAGCTTGTTTACCTTTATGCAGTGCCAATCATGGTGTTTTAAGCATATTAGGTTCCGAATAAATACTTAATTTGAACACATTTTCTCCATCTCAAATTTCCTAGATGAAGCATCTGTGGACATCTGACAGACAGTGATATTCATCTGCTGTTCAAGTGAAGGTCACTAGAAAGAATCTAGGTTTTGGAGTAGAACAATTTGGGGTTCAAATTCTATTTTTGCGGAATACCAATTCTAATAACAGCTTACATTTACTGAATGTGCAGTAAGTTCCAAGCAATATGTAAGTGCTTTTTATTGGAACAGTCCCTTTGAATCCTTATAAAAAGCCTACAGAGATCTCATTATCATCCCATTTTACAGGAGTTAAAAAAAATCTGAATTAGAGAGATTAAATAAATAGTAGAGAATCCAGCCAGTCCAGAGTTAGTCCTCTGCACGTTAGATCCAGGAGCAAGAAGAAGTCCCTGAAGCTTTTGAATCTCATTTTTCATTTTTACAGATTTCATAGTTATCTGGGAGATTTAATAAGACAATGGATATCATGTT